TAGGGAAAATGTCATTTTGTCTTTTAGCGTGTTCAGTTGCACAGTAAATCACAGAAATTATGTGTTGAATTCTTTTTTTTGTTTTTGTTTTTGTTTTTTTTAAAAGGAGCAAGTGAATTTGGAGAAGAAAAAGTAGGAGGAAAAACCCCTCTTCAAATGCTTTAAATGTCCATGAGGAATTGTGACAACAGAGTGAAGATGAGGCTTAGCTTTGCTTCTCCTCTCTCTACTTTCTGAATCAAGTTAGGATTAGGTTCATCTGTGGAAAACAAGCTCCTCCGAGTAACAGCTTAATCAGATGCAGCCGGTTTCTCTGGAAGAGAAGCCCTGGCGGAGGAGCAGTGACGCTGGGTCTGCTGGCGGGATGGTCACTGGAGTCTGGCGCCCTCAGCTTTCCTCTCGGCATCTGCAGGCCAGACTCTGGGGTGCGAGCTGCCACACCCCTTCACAAGCAGCAGAGAGAGGAGAGAGAAAGGAGGGGACGCCCTCTGTTTCCAGAAGCAGCATCCGTGTCTTCTCTTACCTTGCTGGGCATGCCACGCGGGAAGCACGGTGCTTGGCGTGTGCGGGCTGAAGTCGGCGGTTCTGTGTGGAGCGGATTTGGCGGGGGGGCGGAGGGCAACCAGCAGTCTGTTGTATATGGTTAATTTGGGGAGGGATATTTCAGAAGTAGAGAACGGCATAAAAATTATCTGTGTGAATACTCAAGAGTTAACAGCTTCTTTCATCTAAAGAAACTGAGGTGAAAATCGCATAATAAAATTCGTAGATTTTAACTGTACAGTTCAGTGAGTTTTCACAGATGTGTACGACCACACGACCACCAGCCCAAACCAAGATATAAAACACTCTAGAAAGTTCCCTCGTGCTCCCGTTCAGTCACCCCCTCCCCGTTCGCATCCACTGTTCTGATCTCTGTCGTGTTGGGTTAGTTTTGCTTGTCCTTGAGCTTGTTCTAGGTGGAGCCATACAACACATGCTTCTCTTTGTATTCAGTTCAACAGTGTTTTCAAGGTTCACCCGTGTTGCTCTGTGTGTCAGTAAGTAGTTCATTCTTTTTCATCGAGTAGTAGTTTGTTTTAGGAATATACCACAGTTTGTTTATTCATTCTCCTGTTGATGGACATTTGAGTTGTCCAAGTTTGCGGTACTATGAACAAAACTGCTGTGAATATTCTTGTTCAGGTCTCTTTATGGACATACGTTTTCATTTTTCTTGAGTGAATTCCTAGGTGTGGAATTGCATGGCTGGATCGCATGTCAAATGGATGTTTAACCTCGTAAGAAATTGCCAACACGTTCCCCAAAGTTTACCATTTTACATTTCCACCAGGAACGTATGGGAGTTTCTGTTATTCTGCCTTCTCACCGTGCTTGGTGGTGGTAGTTTTTAAAGTTACAGCCACTCTGGTGGGTAGGAAGTATTCTCTCTCTCATTGTGGTGGTGACCTGCTCTTTCCTGATGACTTATTTTGAACACCATTTTCAGTAAGCTTTCATTGTGAGGCAAGTCTCTTGCCCATTTTTAGTTGGTGTTTTCTTGGTTTTGTCAGTTGGTAGTTCTGGTTATAATTTGGTGATCAGATATATGTGTTGATCGTTTTCTCACAGTTGGGGACTTGTGTTTTTATTTTTCTGATAATGTCTTTTAATGAATAGAAGTTTTTAATTTTGAGCAAGACCAACTTTTTTTTTCCTTTCTGTTCATATTTTGTGTGTTTAAGAAATATTTGCCTACTCTAATTTCACAAATAGATTCTCTTATAAATCCTTTGAAAAACGTTATAATTTTAGCTTTTTATGTTTAGATCTGTGTTCCATCACCTTGAATTACCTTGTTGTGAGGTACTCAGTTTTTTCCGCAGATATTTAGTTGTTTCAGTATCATTTGTTGCGGGGGGGCGGGGGGGGGGGAAACAATTCCTTTCTCCATGGCATCGCCTCAGTGTTTTTGTCAAAAAATCAGTCACATGGCCATACGTGTGTGGGTTATATATGTCTGGACACTGTTGTGTTCAGCTGATCTTTTCATCTCTTCTGTGCCAGTGCTACACTGACTTGATGATGTAGCTTTGTGATAAGTCTTGAATTAATGTGAGTCTTCCAGCTCTCCACCCCCCACCACCCGTTTTTTTTGTTGTTGTTGTTTTGTTTTTTTGGAAGATTGTCTTGGTTTCTAGGTCTCAATTTTCCATATTACTTTTAGAATCAAGGTGTCAGTTTCTCCAAAAATGCCCATGGGGATGTTGATTGGAGTTCATTGAATCTGTGTGTCAATTTTGGGAGGGTTGACATCTTAGGTTGAATTTTCCAGTTCATGACTGTGGTTTAGCTCAGCATTTGTTTAGTTTCTATTTAATTTTTCTCAATAGTGTTTTGTAGTTTCCACTTTAAAGATCTTGGTGTGTCTTTTGTAAAGTTGATTTCTAAATACTTTGTTTTTGATGGTAGTGTAAATCAGCTTAATTTTTTTTTTTTCTTTTTAACTTTTAAACTACTGCTGCTGGTACATAACACTTGATTTTTGTATGTTGATTTTATTCTGCCATCTTACTAAATTCACTTCTTAGTTCCAGGAATTCTTCTGCAGTTTCCTTAGGATTTTCTCTGTAGAAAATCATGATGTCTGTGAGTAAACACACTTCGCTTCTTTATGATCTTTTTGCCTTTTATTTTTTTTTCTTTTGTTGCACTGGCTGGAACCTCCAATATGACGTTGCATAAAAGTCGTGACAGTGGACCTCCTTCCCATGTTCCAGTCGTAGGGGGAAGCTTCAAGTATATCAGGGTGACTGCTGGCCTTGTTGGCTTTAATAGGCGTCCTTTCTCACACCGAGAATGCTTCCTCAATCTGTTGAATTTTGTTAAATGGTTTTTCTGCACGTATCAACGTGATCCTGTTTTTCTCTTTTATTCTTTAAATGTGAAGTAAGCTAATTTTTGGATTTTAAACCAATCTTGAAATGCCGCTATAGTACATCATTTAATTCATGGTATAGCCTTTTTTTTCCCTTACATATTACGGGGTTGAAATTTGCTATTTCGTTTAACATTTATGTGTTTAAGTTCATGAAGGGTGTTCATCTATAATTCTTTCTTTGGTGATGTCCTTGTGAGGTTTGGGCACTTGGGTTTTTCTGATTACACGAAGTGAGTTCGGAAGTGTTCCCTCCTCTACTTTCTGAAAGAGTCACGTGGGGGAATTTTTTTCTTCCAGTTTGACGCCACCCGGATCTGGTAGGAAGGCTTCTGATTAGAACCCCCTTGTCTGATAGAAGTAGGCGCTGCCCTCACCCACCTTGAGGGGCCCCTCCCTTGCTTTGGCTTTTTGCAGGTGGAGCCATTTGCACCCTCCAGGGCTGTCCCCTCTAGCTCTGCTGCTGTGGTGGACGGTGGCCGCGAGGGGGTTTTGAGCAGAGCATCCTAAAGACTCTGGGCCCCTGTTCTCACCCTCCTTCTTGTGAGTCCTGGCACCTTCGTTTCCTCTGAAGCCGTGCTGGTTTCTTCAGTAGATACATTAGAAGATGACCACTGACATCTGTCTGTAGTGAAATTCCTTTCACACTTCTATACAAAGTAGGATTCCTGTGCGTATGGCTTCATACAGTGATCCTTGATTTCTTTTTTGTGTAAGTTACATTACTCACCTTTCCTAAAAATATGAGTGAAGAACATCAGTTTGGAAAGTGGTATAACA